GGGAGGGGAGCTGTTGCATTGTGGTAAATTGTAGTCAATGTCATGAGACAAAGTGTATGTGAACTGTTGTATGGAAATTGAATTTGCTCTGTCAATTTTCACCCAAATCACAATTAAAAATATATATATAAATATATATATTTACATATATTTATATATATACACAAACCAAAAAAAAATTCTAATTTTAACTTATACAAGGAGCTAATGACAAGCAGTAAAAGCACCTAATCTGAATTTTACCTCTTCTTCCAGGATTGACCATGACCAAGAAAAAAAAAGATCTCCAAAACTTAAAAATATTTTATATATATTACCCAGAGAATAAGGAGTCCTGGTGGTGTAATAGTTAAGCACTCAGCTGCTGACCAAAAGGTTGGCAGTTTGAACCCACCCAGTGGCTCTGTGAGAGAAAGACCTCGCAAACTGGCTCCCACAAAGATTACAGCCTAGAAAATCTTGTGAGGTACTTGTACTTTGCAACGTGGAGTAATTATGAGTGAAAATCAACTCCACAGCACCTAACAACAATAACAAAAGCCTAAGAATTACAGATATTTTAAAAACCAGTGAGTCAAAAGGGTTGGCTATTCTTTGCTACTATGGCTATGTTGCTTGCTGTGTGTGTGCCATGGAGTCAATTCCAACTCACAGTGACCCTAACACGACAGAGTAGAACTGCCCCACAGAGTTTCCTAAGCTGAAATCATTTTATGGTTAAAACTAAAAATAGAAACTCACTCCTTAAAGTATCCAGAAAGAGTGGGCGGTGGGGGAGAATCTCCTCTCTGAAGTTTATTTTTTAGAGACATAAAATTTAGGGTGATCCTTTTGCAAAGTTGTCTCAGGCTTTTAGAAGTTGACTGATTTTCTAAAATTAATTAACAAGCTTAGACAATACCTCTCAGATACTGATAAAATTTAAACAGACTTAGAAATCACAAATAAGTGACTTTAGGTGGTACAAATGGTTAACATGCTCAGCTGCTAGCCAAAAGGTTAGAGGTTAACACCTCAAGAAGAATGGTCTGGCACTCTATTTTTGAAAAATTAGCCACTGAAAACATTATAGGCACAATTCTACTCTGACACACAGGAGGTCACCATGAGTCAAAATCACCTTGATGGCAACTGGTTTTCGTCAAACTGTGAAGTTCAGAGAACGCACAAAAACTACATAATCTTTACAGTGGTATATAACTCAAATGGCACAAACTCCTAATCTTACATGTAGTTCATAAAGTTCAATGTGTTATTACAAATCACCCAACTATGTGAGCAACTATTCAAAATATTTTTATTAAATGCTTTTAAATTATCACTAAAAAGGCAAGTAACTAGAAAAAAATTAGCTATGTCAATTTAATGAACGAGATGAAGGGTTTAGAATCTCTTACACATTATCATCTATAGTATTAAAATCTTGATTTCAGATAATTACAGGGATAAGAGCAGGAATGAAGTTTTAACCAATGCTTTAAAAATCACTATTTTTTAAAGATCAATTTAGAAAAAGTGAAAAATTCAATCAACAGAAATCCAATTTAGTGAACAATTACAGGACTAAACTTAAAAATTTTACACTTATACACACACACACACCCCTCAAGGTTTTCTTTTTGGCTATACAAGTCAGATTGTCCTATTGTACTGTGTACTTTGTACGCGGGCATCTAACAGATTTCTTTTTAATATGCAAATAAAGAAAATGTGCAAGACAGAAGTTAGAACTTTCAGATTTACAATTTGTGTAAAGTCTTTATAAAAATCCTCCAACCAAGCTATTCTATCAGTTGATAAAATTACAAATCTAATTGATGACTA